ACGTAGATAAAATCACTAAGATGGAAACCGAGCTGAGTTCACCACTTTTCCAAGAAAAAGTATAAAGTAAACAGGATTTCACCAGGAACATCAACACTTGCCTAAAAGAACAAACTCGTAACACTCTTGAGCAACCTCATTTGCATTTAAACAAGCTAGAGCTCATCATAGGACTTGGGGTGGGGATGGAGCATCAGGCCCTGTGCCTGGCAATAATCAGAGGGCTGTGAGCATCCAATGGGATCTGCAGCCGTCTGCGCCCCCTAGTGGCACACCTCAGAACTCCTCAGCTAAGGGCCTGGAGAAAGGCAGTTTTGCAGAGAACTGTGAGAGCACCATTAGATCTTGGCAGGTCTGATGAGAAACCCCTGCTCTGGGGAGCCTGCCCCAGCCACTCCAGACTCCTGGAACAGTGCTCCTCCTAGGGTAGCAACCACAGCTAACAACAACAGGCCTTCCTACTGCCAGGTACCACACAAAACCCTCTAATTGCATTGCTTCATTGAACCCTCCACGCCCCATCAGGTCGCTGCTATGATGACCACTCCATTTTACAGGTGTGATGGTCAGTTTGACTAGGCTATAAACTCTCTGCCAGTTGAGTCGATTCTGACTCATAGTAACTGCAGGTCAGAGTAGAACTGCCCCATAGGGTTTCCAAGGCTGTAAATCGTTATGGAAACAGACTGCCACATCTTTCTCCCATGGAGTTGTTGGTGAAATCCACCAGCCTTTCAGTTAGCAGCCAAGTGCTTTAACCACTGCGCCACCAGGGCTTCTTCATTACCCATCCAAACCAAAACCAAACCCACTGCCGTCGAGTCGATTCCAACTCATAGCGACCCTATCGGACAGAGTAGAACTGCCCCATAGGGTTTCCAAGGAGCGGCTCGTAGATTTGAACTGCAGACCTTTTGGTTAGCAGCCAACCTCTTAACCACTGCACCACCAGAGCTCCTCATTACCCATAGAAAACTATGGGTAGTTTTCTGCCCTGAGCGCAGAAAAACACATTCCTGTAACCTCAGCACCTTACACAGTGCCTGGCATACAGCTGGTGCTCGGTAAGGTTAGTTGAAGCATCGGGTCTCCAGAACAGCCACTCTCAGTCTTGCTCCCCCACTTTGGCACATGTGCTCTCTGGATTACCCAAAACCAGAAAAACTCCTCCTCTGTCCAGTTCCCACCTCCTGATTTGAGTTAGCAGTGACTTCTCTTTCCTAACCTGCACCATAGTGATGACGTCCTCAGCCATTCACGCACGTGTGCATTCTTCCATCCATCCATCCGCACGTTCAGCAAGTACAAGTGGGTGTCAGTACTGGTTTTTGCTCTCAAGGAGCTGACATCTCAGTGGTTGGAGACAGACAATCAAAAACAAAATATACAGGACAATTAGTGTGATAAGAGACGTGGAGGAAAGAAGCGGGGTGACTTGAGGGGGCAGCCAGACAATGGAGGATCAGGGCAGTTTCTCTGAGAAGGTGACAATTAAGCAGAAATCTTAAGGAGCCAGTCATGTGAAAGACTGGGGAAGAGTATTCCAGGCAGAGGGAACAGCACGTGCAAAGGCTGTGTGTTCGGATGGAGCTTGATCTGTTTAAGGAAAAGGAGGTCACCCATGCGGCCAGGCAGAGCACCAAGGTGGGAATGCTGGGGGTGGGAGAAAGGACAAGAGGAGTATGAGCCCAGAGGGGTATGAGCCAAGGTCAGGAAGACCCCTTTCATCCTGGTTTCAGCTGGCCACCACTCAGGGGCCAAATCACACAGGGTTCTGTAGACCAGGATAAGGAGTTTATTCTAAGTTAAGATGGGAAGCGCAGGATAGGAATGTAAGCAGAGAAGTAAATTATTTGATATATATTTTGAAAACATGATTCTAGCCATTCCACATGGAGAATGGCATGTAGAGGGGCAAGGGTAGAAGCTAGGGGTCTTCCTGGAGAGACAAAGGGGGCTTTTCACAGGGTATGATGGTAGAAGTGGGGAGAAGTAGACAAGTCTGGCGGTCAAGCTGGCAGGTGAGAGAAAAGGAAGAATCAAGGGTGACATCTCGAGTTTGGGCTTGACCAACAGGTGAATGGTGTCAGTTATTGAGATGGGGAAGATGCTGGAAGGAGCAGATTCAATGGAGGGAAGGAGAGACAATTTCAGGCTACTCTGTTTTGCAGTCTTCAAGGTCACCAGTCCTACCTCCTTCCTCCATTAGACTGTAAGCTGCCTGAGCCCAAGGACCGACTTTCTTCCTCTGTGGACTCTACCCTCCACCCTCGCCCTCATCCAAGCCTGGGTTCAAGTCTTGGTTCTGTACTTAGTCAGTGATGACCAGGGAACAGCATCTGTTTTCTCTGTGCCAGAAGCTTCATGAACTCTCTCATTACAGAGCAAGGCCGAGCCCTAAATATGAGTTCAAATCCACACTCTGCCACAAACCGTGGGCAGTCACCCTCTCTGAGCCTCAGTCTCTCATTTGTAAAATAAGAATCTCACCACCTACCATGCAATGTGGCTCTGAGCAGCAAATGATGAAACATGTAAAGTTCTAGCACATAGTAGACGCTCCATAAATAGTAACAAGAGCTAGCACTTAGGAGAGCTTTCTAGGTGGTAGGCAGTGTTCTAAGCATGCTTACATAAATTAACTTATCTAATCTTCATTACAGGAGCCCTTGTGGCGCAGTGGTTAAGAACCTGGCTGCTAACCTTGGAAACCCTATGGGGCAGTTCTACTCTGTCCTATTGGGTCGCTATGAGTCAAAATCGATTCAACAGCAACGGGTTTGGTTTTTGGTTTTTAAATCTTTGTTACAACCCTGTGACGTAGGTATGAATATTATCCCTGATTTACAGAAGAAACAACAAGCACAGAGAGGGTAAGAAACCGGCCCAAGTTCAGACAGGAAAGAAGCCAGGCTCCAAACTCTGCTGTCTGGCTCCAGAGCTGGCACTTTTACATATGACACTAAGTGGCCATTATCATAAGTACCCCAATGTAAATTAAATTTCTCCATCCATCCTTTTTTCCTGGCCTTAGCGTGAATCCGGGGGAGGCGTTCCCTGAGGGAGGCAGCCTCGGGTGGGGGCCGTGGTTGCTTAGGGAGCAGCAGAGGCCCTGAGTCTCAGAGATGGCAGTGGGAGGGGAGTGACCTAAGAGCTTGTCTGGTCCAGCCTTTGGCTTTACAAGGGGAAACTGAGGCCTAGAGAGAAGGGATGTGCCCAAGGTTACACAGGGAGCAAACTGGCAGCTGAACCAGAACTAGATCCCACGGCTTTGGAAAGTGATAATGATGAGCATGTACTTCTACGGTAGTTATATGCTAGGAACTGTTCCACATTAACTTATTTAATCTTCTACATGTGTGGTAGATACTACTATCATCCCTACTTTACAGATGGGGAAACTGAGGCATGGAGAGCCTATGAAACTTGCTCAGGTAACACACAGCCAGGATGTGAGCCCAGGCTTAACCATTAAACTACACCTCTGAAGCCCAGGGCAAGTTTCTTGGGGAGAGAGTGGTTATGACAGAAGACAATCCCAGTTTTGCCCTTCTGTTTGGTTCTGGTCTGAGAGATGACAGGACTCTAGAGTACTGGGGCTTGGGAAGAGTGGCTGGGATTGGTGGGGACAGACGTGAGAAAAGGCCCGCAGGGCAGAAATCCTTCCACCTGGAGCTGACCGATGATGCCACTGGTTCATCAGACTGTCTCACTCTCCTGCTCCCTGGAGGGAATGGGCACTTCTGCAGCAGGCAGGCCCCACACCCCTGCCCAGCTGAGCGCACCCACAGTAGGCACTCCCCAGGCAGGTACACAGACTATAACCCATAACCTGGCACACCCAGCACAAGACCCACACAGGTACATGCATAGCACATGTACACACGCAACCCATATACACACATGCCCCTGAATAATAAGACACAATAAGCATATAAGCAAGCACTTCTACACTTATGAACCCATACTCAGAAACACATACACACCCCATATCATTACACCTACCCCAATTCACATCCCATCCCTCACACATGATCCACACGCCACGGCACTTGGACAGGATACTCCTCACACATGAACCATTACCATGAGCCATGTGCTTATACACACTCCCCATACACCAAGGGTCAGACCTTCAGATGGCTGCCATCTACTCGCCACCCTCATAAATACAGGCAACACAGATGCCTGTGCTCCCTCCCCCACCCCCCAACCCTAATTCCCAGGGGCATCCCTCCCTCAACAAACTATGCGTCTGAGGAGGCCAGCCTCTCCCATCCAGGAAGAATTCTTCTGACCCAAGCCAAAAGCGCCCAGCACACAGTGTCCGAGGACTTGCCCCGCCTCTCCCTGTCTCCACCCTCTTCGCAAACTCTGGGTGGGCGCTGGCACCTGTCAGGCAAATGCCAGGGCTGGCCCGCCCACTCCCATCCCCGACTCAGCTAGCCAACACGCAGAACCCCCACCCTCGCAGCAAGGAGGACATGCTCAGAGTTGGGGGAGGGCGACGACACAGGCCCGCGGTGCAGGGGCTAAAAACTCGCAGTCACTCCAGTGCAGCCCCCATGGGGGCCTGGCTCTCACCTCCCCGCCAGGAAAACTCCTGCACTTCTATTAACCCTTCACCACTGCCGCTGGGCCCCGTGGGAAGGACCCAAGGAGAAGTCACATCAGAGCCTTTCAGTGGCCATTGCAGTCGAGGGGTGAAGGATCCGGCAGACAACGCTGTGGGGACTCAGACACTTCATGAAACCCTCCCACTCCCCATGCACCCACCTGCATTCCCATCGGGGAGAGCCCGGGGCCTGGGGGACTCGGGGGGGAAGGGGGATGAAGGTGCGAGTACTAGAGACTTGGGAGCACGGGTTGGGGAAGGAGGGCAACTGAAGGGGGTACAGGCGGGCAAAGTCCGCCGCAGGAGCAGACGGGTCGCGGAGGGGCGCGTGCACGACGTGGGAAGGAGGTGAGAGGAGAAAACGCCCGCCCGGAGGCTCTCTTACCTGATTTCTTCTTGGAACTGCCATAGTCCCTGAAAAACAAGCAACAACAGACAGACATGGTTAGGGCCGGGCACTGGCTTGCGGGGCTGCAGCTCCGCTCCGTCCTCTGCGCGCTGCTCATGTGATCCCTGGCCCGGCAGCCGCGCGCTCCGCAACCGCACGCTCTGTGCGCGCCGCGTCCGCC